GACGCATGATAAATGACCGCCCCGTGATTATGCATGATATCTACGGCAATCCATTAAATATCTATTACATATATTATACATATTATTATTATTTATTTTTATTAAAATAAAAACAATTTAAAATTAATTTACTATTATTAAGGTTAGTATTAGAAGCTAAAATGTTAACAAGACATATTTTATACTAAAATTTTGCAAGAAATTTTTTTTTAAATAATAGGTTCATAAGCAAAATTTTGAATTTTAATATTTTGCTTTGTTTCTGTTATACAAATAATTGTGGCAGATTAAAATGAAATGAAATTTTTCTATTTTTTTAGAAAAATTTAAAATTTTTTGAGGTACATTTTTTAGGGTTAGAGTTAGTGTTAGGGTTAGGGTTTAGAGTTAGTTTTATTAATAAAAGAGTATAAGTGGATTTTATATGCTTTAAAGATGAGCAAAAAAGGTTCCCAGTTTCATTTTAATCCAATTTCATTATAATCTGCGACAATAATTGATTTACAAATTGCATTTTTTATTTGTGTATAGTGTACAAATAGAAATTGTCTTTTTGATATAGAGATAAACTTTACTATAGCAGATCGAACATGGGTAATTTGAACACTTTGGTGTCACAAAGAGCTAGGTTAGCTAATACTTGTAACTTAGATAAACTTTAAGAGACTTTAGTTAAAATTATATTTTTACCTGTGAGTTTAAATATTTATATCTAATAAAGTATTAGCTGAATTGACAAAAAAAAAAATTAGATATAATATATAAATTAATAAAAATAAATTTTTTTAAAAAATTAATTTATCTCAAAATTTTGATTAAACCCCACTTTTTGGATTCTAATAAAAAAAATTTCTTGTAAAAATTTTAATTTTGTTTAATTCCAACTTTAAACTTAATCTAACTCTAATTAAAAAGTTTATTTTTATAAAAAAAACTATTGTTTTAATTTATATATTACACCAATTTATAATTGTATATAAAGTAGCACTACAGTTCTATAGCACTATAATAATATTCTTTTAAATCAAAACTTTAAACAAAATATCTCTACACCACCTACCCAAAAATCAATAAAAAATTTTTAAAAAAATTTTTACTGACTTTGGTTAGGTAATTGTAAAGATATTTTGTGAAAAAATTTTGGTACTTGCTTTAATAGATTAATTTTTCTCTAATTTTGAGCAAGGATAATTCTATTACCACCTAACCAAAATTTTTTTTTATTTGAATTCTATGAATTCATAGAATTCAAATAAAAAAATTTTAATCAGGTAGTTGTCTGGATATCTCGATCAAAATTTTACTTTTGCTGGGGTATGTATAATTGTGTAAAGGTAACGGTAATAAATCGGCAATATAATAGTAATTAAAAGAAGCTGGTTGAAGTTAAGGATAGCATGAGTATATTAAAAAAAGAAATATCACATTTCTATTTTCGTCGTTTAGTTACAAGTTGAAATCCTTCATCATCAATAATTGGCTCTTTCTTTGATGAGTCCATTTTATTCTGATTACTAGATGAAATATCTTCGGAAGTATCCATTGCATCAATCATTTGTACATTTACATTTTCACCATCATCGGAGGTGGTGTGTCGTGATCTTAAAAGATCGACGGAAGAGTAGTTTCCTTCTATACATTCAGCGTATAATTTGATTAGATGTTTTGATACCTTATTATAAGTTGCATTTAATTAATATATAGATGAAAAATTAACGTTATATTAACTAAGATATAATAGTTTAATTTACTTGATAAGCAGAATCATCTTCCAGCAGTGTATTGAATTCATCTGCCATTACTTGTTGTAAAATTGATTCTACGTCTTCTTCGTAAGTTTCTTTACCATCTTTAATGATAGTTTAAATAATATATAATTTTAAGATTACTTTTGGGTCCACCCCTTTCTTTTTTTCTGCTCACTATCGGCTAAAAAAATTTTTTTTTGATTACTGAGCGTACGTACGTTTCCCAAAGTATTCTACAACAACGTCTACAAACCAGTCACGCTTATCCTCAGAGTCAATACCACCCCATTGCATTTCCACTGCTAATTTTAAAGCTGTCCAAGATTTAAATACATAAGTTACTGCTTGATAAAATTGATCATTTTGAACTTGCACAGTAGACATTTTCAAATAAATTTTTTTATAATTCGAAAAAAAAAAAAAAAATTAGGTTTATATAAATGAGTTTTCATTGGACGTTGATATCTATCTATAACGAGTGATCAGTTATATTTTAAGATACACAAGTTTTTTTTTGAATTACTGCATTATCACCATGAATAACGATGATTCTTTTGCTAGAATCGAGCAATTTCTTTCCGAACAATTAACTGGGAAAGATCGTAGAAAATATAATGAAAAAAGAATATACGAGTTAGGTGCCAAGGTATTTATTAGTTAAAAAATATTGAAAATTTTTGATTCATGTTTAATAATTTAAAAAAACGAAATTTTCAATAGAAGCCCAAAGGTATTAAAATTCCAACACCCATTGCGTTAGGAATGCAGGCTAAACGTCAAGAACGTGCAAAAAAAGAACTTCAGGAGGTTATTAAATATATCAGTTTTTTTTTTTATTTATTTTTTTAACCCTTTTTTTTACTAAAATTTTTCCTGCTGTTTAATTGCCATAAAAAAAAGGCAAAAAATCTAGGTCTATATCATCACTCGATAAAACATAATTGGGCTGATTCAATATCTTCACTTTTAAACAAGAATAAAAAAACTTATCGAGATAAAGGAATTAGAATGGGAATTGGTAAAGTTAAAGATGGTATATTAACCTTGAGTTCTAACGATATTAAAAAAGTTCAGAATAGTAATAGGATTAAAAAACGAAGTAATAATGGGAAGAATGGGAAGATCAGAAAAGCTGTGGGTGGTAACAAAGCGAAATCAAAAAAGAAGCGCAAGTGATTTTTTATTTTTATTTTTTAATTGGCTGGAGCTGAGAAGTAGCTGAGAAGAGCGAAATTTTCAGAATAATTGGATCCCAGTTCAACTATTCTGCTGCATTCAGAAATTGAATCTAAGTTGGACATTTTAAATTTCAATTATATGTACTTTGAATTTTTTAAAAATTATGAAAATGGGCTCCATTTCAGTTATAATATTATGTAGTTAGTCTAGAACTTAATAAAAAAAACATGATACAATTTACAATTTGCCTGTAAATCAATAGTACAGAAATAATGTATATTCGTCATGGTGAGACTCAAATATTATAATTATTCTTTTTTGTTGGAAAGCATTTGGACAAATCTAAAAGTCAAGTGAGAGTTCCAAATTTCTAAGGTCTTGTAGCGCAATTAAAAATCTTAAAATTATAAATTTATTATTTTGAATATATATCAATTTATACACTAAATGAAATTAGTTGATTTGTTCATTATTCAAGTCCTCATCACTTGTTATAATAGCCCTTTTGAAATTCTTCCAAAGCGAAGCAACGTTTTCGAATTCTTTTCCGATCGTTATTACACTTTCAAGATTCTTGTTGAGAACGTTCATATTATTGATAGTTTGTTCGAGTCCCTGTGTTTTTAATATCAACAAAATGAGTACAGTTGATAACTAAAAATATATTTAACTATTCATATAATACCAGAGCAATATCATTGATCATGTTTTCTTTCTGTTTTTGGAACGTTGTTCTGTCATTTGTTTCCATCTTTATATCTTTATTAAGCGTACCGGGATTTTGTAAATTTGCTATGATGCGTGTTTATTTAAAACGCGTATCAAAAATGTCAAGATCGCAAAATTATAATCTGTGCTCAGTTGGTGATCACGTGACGATGTTCGTAGAACATCTAATTCAATATCCTATTCGTATTTTAATTCCATAGTATTAGGGGGTTTCAAAGTTAACAAATAAGTGACGCATTTCGAAAATAAATAGGATTTTTTCAATAGTATTTTTATTATGTTGAATTATAAATCGGAAAAATAAAATGAGATTCTCTGATTTTAACTTTGAAACCCCCTATTGTAAAATAAAAAAAAGTACATTGAATTTAGTTTGATGGTTATCGAGAAATCATCGTTAAAAAAATTGGGGAAATTTTTCTTTGAAATTTAAACAGATGATTTTTTTTTATTTTTATAGAATTAAAATAAAAAAATCATTTAAATTTCAAAGAAAAATTTCCCGATTATTATTTCTCGATAACCACCAAACTGAATTCAATGTACTTTTTTTTATTTTAATTCTACAATACTATGGAATTAAAATACGAATTTGATCACGTAGTTACTCACTAGAAGTACATAGTCACGTTATCATTAACCGAGCATAATTTCGACGCCGAACGGACAGTAAAGACAGTGCAAATTCACGTACTACTAAAACCACTAACCCTAACTGTCCCTAACTATCCATTCATGTAATGTTCCGAGTTGATTAAAATTTTTCCTTTGATTGGCATAGTAAATAAACACGTGTTTTCTGTATTATTTTAAACCATTCTAATTGGCTAAAAAATTAAATTTATTATGTACAGTAACAGTAATCAACCAACGATTAAATTTCCAATCGATTAGTCAACTAGTTGGTTTTTCAACTAACGATTTGGCGTCAAGATCAGGAGATCAGGTGTACCGTTCGTTACACCAAGAATTCCGATAATTTTGATTGGTCAAGTATTGCTTGCTCACGTGAAGCTCGAACATTCGCTCAAAACTGCAAAATATTATCTTTATACGTATAGTACGTGCATGTACTTAACTGTTAAATCTTTTTTTAACTAATACAATAATACAGTAACGTCTTATTAATATCTGTTATACAATTATATAGTGGCTTTATCGGAAATCGTCGATCGATACTTAAATGAAAGTTATGCTTAAAAATTATCTGGCAAAATTTTAGTGGATAAAATATATACATATATATTGTGTAACAATAATTTTCAATATAATTTCTGCCCGTTAGATAGGTTCGTGATTTTCTTCAGTAAAAATGTTTGAAGAAGAAATACGGTTTTTACGTAAAATGAGCAAGCGCCAGGTAAAAATAAAAAAAAAAACTTACTCATAAACATTTATATATTTGAATGTCAATTTACCTGTTACTTTTTTTAGCTTGCGCAACAAATTTTAAACTTCCTAATGATTGTTTCTTCCGCATTAATGGTATGGAAAGGTTTGGCACTTTATACAAATAGCGAAAGTCCGATAGTAGTGGTTTTGAGGTAAGCTCTTCAACACGTATTTTTCTTCAGGATCGCTTCGCATGTTTCATATTCACACCGATACTTACTCATATTTTATGTATCAGTGGAAGTATGGAACCAGCTTTTTACCGTGGTGATCTTTTATTCTTAGGATTGCCCGATGAACCAGTACGAGTTGGTGACATATGTGTTTTCAAAATTTCCGGTAGAGATGTACCGATTGTCCATCGAGTCATAAAGCTACACGATGAGTAAGTTTAATAACTTCATAACGTCGTATGTTTTTATAAAGATTAACAATTGATTATAATTGTTTATTAAAAATAAAAGAAGAAAGACAGGGAAACAATACATTCTCACTAAAGGTGATAATAACCAAGTAGATGATCGAGGATTATACAACCCAGGGCAGCAATGGATTCATAAAGAAGATATTATTGGAAAAGTTAAAGGGTACTTGTTTCAATTTGTGTCAATTTATTACATACTTTATCACGATTGTTATTCAATTTTTTTTTTTAATCTCTTTTAAAGATTCTTACCATATGTCGGAATGATAACGATTCTTATGAATGATTACCCTCAATTGAAATACGCCCTGATCGGTTTTCTGGGGCTATATATGTTGATAAATAGAGAATGATTGTTTACTAAAAATGACATTTGATAATGTAATGTTTTAAACCTTTGAATTGATCTACAAGTTTTGTGTTATTGTTAGAGACAAGATTGTTATTAATAAGAAAGATTTAGAATTTAGTGCACAAATCTTAATTTTCATTTTTTTTTTATAATGTAAAATTATTAATCTAAAGTTTTATATAAAAGCTTTTACTAATAACAATTATTATTGGTAATTTTTAATAATTTTAGTTTACAAATATTTTGATTTTTTAGCATTTAATGAAATTTTTTTAATAGACTTATTATTGAAGAAATAATAATAAAACACATGTATAATTTGAAAGTCAAATTTAAGGGTATTTTATATATTGGTATATACATAGATAGATCTTGTTTTTTTTAATACTAATTTTAATTTTAACTAGCTAAATAAAAAATGTTATATATTAGTTAAGAAATACAGTATGCTTATATATAAAAGTTTAGATTGCTATTACCTATATAAATCAAATAAGTTAATACACTTGATTTTATATATAAAAAATTATTTAAACTAAATTTATTTAAAAATATATAAACCTTATTTTAAATTTTAAATATATATTTTTTAATAAAAAATTACTTTAATTACTACTGGTAATTATCACTAGCATAGTTTTTAAGGTTAGAGTGCATTTTTAAGGTTTATATATATATATATACAGTATATATAATATAATATAGATTAGATATAAGGTTCCAATTTTAGTTTTCATAAAGTTTTCAAAAGTTCTAAACATTTTTATTTAGAATATCTGATTCTGTTTGCTTAGTAGGTTTTTGAGATATAGCAATACTGATAATGATCACTAGTGGTAATAAATAGTAAACCTCCTTTTAATATTTAATAATTTTTTATTTAAAGCTTTAGTTTTTAGGGTCAGAGTTTCGTAGCCTAGTAGTCTAGATGCCTAACCCTCCACAGACGAGGTCAATGGTTCGATTACAGCTAGTGATAATTAATTTAATTAATTATCTCTATAACCTTCAGGAGCTTTTAAATGTGAAACCTTGTGGCGGTAAGACCATGTGATGTATATATTTGGCCAATAAAAAATTCTTGGAAGGAGCCCCGAGCTATGGAGAAGACTGGGCACTGCGTGTGACATGAATTACAAAAGGTATTACTGCAAAAGGCTGTGCGTGTGAATCCACAATTGGCAAAGTAGCACCAACAACCCTAAGGCGGCATTGGGATTTTGATTAAGAAGACGGCTGAGTGTGGTATATCCAGAAGTAGTGAAAGAAGCGGTGAACATAGTAAGGGGCTGTGGTAAGAGAATGACTTTACCAAATATAGAATACCTCTGGCACAAAGAAACAAGGAAAACCGGCTAAAAAAACCCCGAAAAGCATAGAAGCAAGTGATTTGGTGGTACGAAAATAAAGACAGACTAGAAAGTAATAGCCACACAACCTATATGGAAATCTATGATGAAATATGGCAGAAGCATGGGTCCCGGGTCACTGGCTTGTGATAGTGATTAAATGAAATACATAACTTCTGTCCTAAGGATCTAGACTTTTGTAACACCATACCAATAGGAAGTATTATAAAAGGATCAGTAGCCTAATTTGGTGGTGTACGATGCGAATACCTGGATTGATATGAAATATCATTCTAGTTTGGCAACTTAACTGTTTGAGATATGGCTAGGCCCATAAAGTAACTCCTCTAAGGATACCAAACTGAAAGCACGAAGAGCGTCTACTCGAAGGACACCAATTTGGAAGTAATACAAGTACTGAATTAGGAGTAATGTGATAAATAATGAGGGATGGAAGTTGGTTGGTGGACATTGTACAGTAGTATATAAGCAGAATATATATGATAAAAATAGGTTTGGGAACCATTCGGTGATTTAGTAATTGGTCTGGTTGCTGGGCGGTTATTAAGGAGGTAAAATCTCATATAGCAGGTCGCACATAGGTACTAAGTTAGTAACTGGGTGAGCCAATATCTCGTAATACATTAGAGTGTTGTAATTGTAAATGTGATATTTGTAACCAAAATACCTTAGTGTACTAATAAATGGTATTGGCAAAACTGCTGAAAAAAAAAAAAATAAGCTTTAGTTTTTAATTTTAGAAGTTAAAAATCTTTTTTAAATTGATTCATTCTTTACTATGTTTTTTAAATCAAATAACTAATTAATTATATAGGCTAAATATTAAAAAGAGACAAAATTAACAAAAAAAACTAAAAACTTAATTCTTATATTGTAAATTTTATAATAAATTATAAAAAATGCAAACTTTAAAAAAATATACAGTAGTGCAAAATTTTATTAATTCAACTACTTTTAATTTGTATAAAAAATATTTTTTGAAAAAATTATTAATTGTTTTTTTTTTTTTTTAATATTCAGAGTATAGCACCTGTATTTAGATTTTACATACTAGGCTAATGCATAGCATTGTGAGTCTGGAGCAAAATATTTAAAATTTTTTAAACTTTTAAAAAAATATATATTATTTTTTTTTTAAAAAGAGACCTTTTTAGTTGGCAAATTTTATTAAGTCGAGTTCAGACACTATATATTGTAACAAAGATACTGTTACAAGTGGGGTAGCCTTCTTAATTTACTACCTGCAACATAGCACACAGCGACAGGGATCTCTAATATAACAGGGCGAGATATGAAGCGGTGTGGAAGTGGAATGTTTCTTCACTAGGGCAGTTCAGTATATTCATTAGAAGCATAGAGACATGGTTTACTTTAGGGTAAAGATATATTTATTTATTTATGATACAATGCCTAAATACAAGGCTATCTATAGGTATCTATTCCTATAGAATCCTAATATTTTAGAACATTGCAGGGAACAAATC